GGCAGGTTCAGTGCACTTACCTTAGTGGAGAAGGGAATGACTTGCCAGCATGCGGGCCGCGCAGCGACCGGTGATGGATATCGTCGTGTTTCATTTGCCAGGCCTTTCCGGAGCTCTTCACTAAGCTGGAGCGATAATCGGCATTCGTTTATAAAAAACAGTTCCTCTTGGAAAGTTCCTTGAAAACTGGCTTCAGTCATTGTTTTCCTGGCCTTGTGTAGGAGAATACAAGATTCTTTTGAGAGTGATAGTTAATAACTGGAAGTTGGTGTTCATGACTGCTCACAATACAAACACTTTTCCCATTTGCATTTGTTCGGTGAGCGTATACTAAAAAATTGGTCTGTACCTTTCTCCCCGAACGGCGTGTCGCGCTCGCCGCACGCGATCGCGCGCTAGAATCTCCAATGGAAGGATACGGAGAGTCGCCGCGGAACCACTGCCGCAGGCAGAAGCGAAAGAAGCGTGGGAATTCGAGGAGAAGTTCCGTTACCCCTAGAAATTGAGGGTGGGAAATGTTGCCATTGCATCAACCTTCGCTTCCTTTTTTCTATAGTTGTGAAATTTTACACGTGTAATAATCAGAGAAAACAATCAGAGAAATATGTAGTAAGTAAAAAATATGGATGCTAAGCATGCTGAGCTATGTGCAGGTGTACAGGTGATGCAATTTATTCGTGATACTGTATGACAACCAAGAACGGAGATGGTGTAGTGGCAAATGGCGCACTTCACACACTTATGGTTACTGGTTCGGATTCCGAATCGATATCGAACCAACCACGCCTTCCATCCCTCCGGGGTGCCAGATCCGTCTGTGAAGATAAAAGTACTGGCATGTACATCGAATGGCCAACGCTAGTCATTGTATAGGCCACATAAGCATTCATTACGCCACTTCGATTCTGAATGGATGTCGAATGCGGGGCGCATCTCTCAGACGGGATTGATCAACGCCCCCAAGACTCTACCCTTTCCTTATGTAGGCTATGTGTTATAGGAATTCTAATTTAACACAGTTGAATACACCTAAGTTATACTTGCAAACTGTCTAGGTCATTTTGAGAAATTTAATTTAGTCGACGATTCTTCGACGGCTACTTTTGATCGTGTTGTCGACTGGCCAATTACCGATGTGGTGGGGCGTTCCATCGCCATTTACAGGTAACCTGAACCCTTCACTTTCCTTAAAGCATATTTATTCTATTCCTCTGAAGCCATTGCAGAGGTCTTCGACAGAGCCTTCAATTGGATGAATGTTCCAAAAATCTACTTTACAAAACTGCATAGTTTTTTTTTTGAAAAGGAAATGGGCGTAGGGGGTATTCTGATGGAATGTTCAAAGGTGGAGAACGTAACTTGATGTTGTTGGAGGGGTCAGAGTAATTTACATATGGGATAAAGACAACGAGATCAGTATGATGAC